ATTTATTGTAAGGCACAGTTGAATATTTTTATAGAAACTGCGCAGTATAAATTTAAATTTAATAATAATAATGATAATAATAATAATAATAATAATAATAATAATAACATGACTAATCTCTACAACTATAGTCCCTGTGACAAGTCATGGGACAAGTCCCATTGTGTGAAGTAGCCATTTTATTTTTGCCATACATTCTAGTTGCAGGAACTAAAATTTGGTCCCTGTGACTAGTCCCACAAATTCAAACTGGTTTGAAATAATTTACATGAGTATACTGGAAATCTTGATCAAATTTTTGCCCCTTTTCATTTCTGTATTGGCCACATCTGACCGGTAACAAAGCCTTATATTCCACTTATATTTGAACTGAATCAGAAACAAGTCAAGCACTGAATAATTTCACTGAACAATCTGGGTGCCATTTCACCGGTCCCCCGGTTTTCAAGTTGCTACTTTCCTGTGCAGTAGTTGGTCCTCGGTGTAAACACTTATAGGGACTAGTCCCTGCGACCTGTCCCTTTGTGTGAACTCTTCAGGGGACTATTGGCAAGGACTAGTCCTCTTATGTGTGCCGGCCTTTAGAGTAAAGCAATCTCTGTCTTAAGGAACCACCAAGCTTGTTTACATGACATTGATCATAACTGTTTGTGTCTAGATTATTTAAGGTTGTGTGTACTGACCTTTATGGTGGTTTGAACTATTTCATCTTTTGCTTCGATCTTAGTTCTAACATTTAGGCAAGGGTTCAGATGCATGACATGCATTTAATATTAGAAATGTGGGTATTTTTGCAGAACTCATTTGACTTACAGTATATGTTTGTTTCTTAACAAAGGATATCAACATCCGCCTCAAGTGGCCAAATGATGTTTATTATGGTCAAAAGATTAAAATTGGAGGTGTTATTGTGACATCATCAGCAAAAGATAACATTCTAAGTGCTGTGATGGGTAAGTATTGCTGTGTTTATTAAAAAGTTGAGTTTCATTCATTTGATAGCTTCAGTTGGTAAATTTTAACAACTTAATGAAGTTCTGAAGAGAGGTATCCATGCATCAGGATACCTCTCCATTCAGAGGCAGTAGCTATTCTGAGCCTGTTTTTCATGCTACATATGTGGGAGTTTTTAACCAAAGGGAAGTAAAGGAGTGTCTTGGTGCACCACAAAGTTGGTTGATTTGGCCATACCTCAATAACTGTTCAAAGTAAGATCTGAAACTGATGATGGAAAAACTGTTTTCTGCAATAAAGCTTGTCTAATCCATACAGTTTCTCTTGAATCACAGCACTACCAAATTCTGTCAATTTAAAGCAGAAATTCAGGCTAAGGTCATGTTGACTTGAAATTAGTTGCATTCTCCATTTATTTTTCTCACTTAGGTATGGGAATTAATATCAGCAACACAAAGCCTACCATCAGTGTAAATGAAATTATTTCTCTGCATAATAGTGAACATGGGACTAACCTTAAACAGCTGACAACGGAAGAGATGTTGGCAAGAACAGTCAATAAAATAGAAACCCTTTTTGAGGACTTTCAGGAAAATGGTTCTGCACCATTTTTGAAAAAATACTACAACCGCTGGCTTCATAGGTACGTATTAATAAAATAGTTTTTGTAAATGACACTGTATATACTGTCTTGTAGATGGCTAGTTAATGGTGCATGGTGTGATAGTCACTGTCAATTTGGTATCAAAAATAATTATTTCCCCAATTTATCACAGACTGTCATCAACTACCAGTCACATAACAAGGATTCAAATAACATACATGGGTCCATAAGTTTCCCAGGAATATAAAGTTTGTGTAATTGAGGAATCATATCATATGGTCACAATCACACTGTTAAATACTTAGTCTAGTTTTGTTATTTCACAGTACATGAACCTAGAGAATTTTTTTTTATCATGTTTTGACCCATCAAATTTGAACCTTTGACTGTATCTTACCTATCAGTTATTATTATAATAAATGCTGAGAAATAACTGTACAATCAAACCAATTTTAAATACTATCAAATGAAACAGTGTTTTGTCTCAGACTGAAATTCTTTTATTTTCAATTTTAATGTAAAAAGTAAGCATGCCAATCCCTCTGTGTTACTCTACTTTTAATTAAGTTAACTATATCTCAAGTGCAGGACCAATAGGCATGCAGGGTAGTGTAGTCACAGTAAATAAAGTTATGATATGTTCCACTAAAAGTACCACTATTTTTAACTCCAAATACAAAATACTGTCAGCATACACATCCTAAATTTAACATTTTAATATTCTTAAATTCTATTTCAGTGAAGTGACTGTTAACCTGTCAGCGAATGAAGACAAGAAGGAAGTGGTGATAAAAGGACTCGATGAATTTGGTTTCCTATTGGTGCAAACCAAGTCTGGCGAATCATTATCAGTACAGCCAGATGGAAACACTTTTGACATGCTGAAAAATCTAATTGCGATAAAAAATAGCTAGCAACATAAAATTTAATGAACTCTAGGTTTTTACTAATATTTTTACATGTCATGTAGTTAATATTTTAAGAGATTTACATCCCAGGTGGGACAAGTACATTGGATGTAAAGAGACAGTGAGATGCCATAAAACAAGATGTATCAACTTTATTATGACTTTTCACTACACTTACCAAGATTGTGTTAAAAAACATGTATAATAAATTTAGAAAGGCTCTCTGTTAGACCCTTTAGAATTAAATTTACAGGACTATATTTTAAAATTGTTTGCCCCATCTAGAGTGTTAATCTTGTTGTGTTAAAGTTAAAATACTTGAGTGTACATTTACATAGAGCTCCACGTTGCTTTTTCTAAATTTTACAAACTGAAAAATTATGGAATAAATAGATGTGAATTCAAGGTAGTATTACCAGTAGCTGCAGTTGTCAAATTCTAAATATTCAGTTTTTAAATAAATGAAGTTACTTAATATATATAATAAAGAAATTGATCCTTCTTACAATTTGAAAACTTTTTTCTTCGTATCTTTTCATGTCTCTTACTCAGACATTTCAATTAATCAATTAATTAAGGAAGAAATTTTAAAGAGAGAAATAGGCGATTTCTAAACCCTCTGGCTGAATTGATTTAAATTGATTTCTTACACAGGACAGATTTTGTGCAGCTATTGGAACAGCCTGATTGGTAGTAACAGGTGATGTATTTGCTTCAGAGCCTTGCTTTCATGCACCATTATGCACTTGTTTCAGCACTTTTGTGGATAAACTTACTGAAGTTTCAAAGCTGTTGTACCAGGTCTACTAAGGAATATGCTATTGCATAAGGTATCCCACATGCTGAAAATTAAGAGCAGAAAGTAAATGCTGCAAAAGTTAATTCAGGATTGATCAAGGCTTTCTTTGTTTGGGAGATCAAAGACTATTGGTGGATGAGACGGCTTGTACTGGACTGTTACTGACGAGGCATTAACAAATGTCGTTATTCCATCTGTAGTTATTCCATATCCTACAAAGTACACAATTGAGAAATGTTATTCTGACTCACAAACACATAAAGTAAATGATTACCAAATATAGTCACATGAAAAAAATTAAATGTCTTTACTCCATCTGTAGTTATTCCACATCCTACAAAGTACCCAATTGAATAATGTTATTCAATTGGGTACTTTGAATAATGTTAATTAGATTAAAAGAAGTATTCAACATTTGATAATGATTGCATCATTTGTTCTGACAAAGGGCCAGTGCTAAAAATATCAGCTTCAGATTGAAACTCTTGGTGGCCTGATTTTACTTAATATTAATTATCTTTTATACCCCCCGCCACCAACTTACCCACTTTATTTATTTATTTTCTTTTTGTATATATGTAAAGGTTCATGAAAAAACCCTCAACAGAATGATGCCAACATTCAAAAACTTCACTCAAACTGACCATAACTGTTAGGTTAACCTTATCATTCAATGAAAATATTACTCCAAAAATGTTAACTTTGCTTTTTCATTGGCCAGGGGTATCTGCACAGAAAATAGAATTTACTTCACATTCAACTTTCCCACTCATAAAGGCAGCCTTTCATGTTTGCCGATTATCATTAGACTGCAAAATTTAATATCACAACAGCTGGGTAGTTATTTTATGATTTTTATGATGCCATACCTTCATGGATATGTCCAAAAATGTGATACCTGGGCTTGACCCGGGACTGTATGGTGTGTAAAAGATTAAGACATCCAGCTCTTAGCTTTGAAATTGCAAGATCTCCATGACCTGTTAAGAATGAAATGCTTTGAGACTGAGAAAATGGAGAACACTTTAATTTATACTGACAAGTCAATTGGTTACTGATCAATTACAGTACAATTCAAAGCATAGGTAGAAACCTTCAAATTCAAACTAATTACTGGAATGGCTATCGCAGTACAGTTTTCTCATGCCTTGTTGTTTTTCCATAGAACACAACACTTCATAAACACTTTTCCAACTAGTGTTTGGTTTCTGGGCTTCCCTGAAATGCTGAGTGATAAGGGAGGAATTACTGCAAAAGGTACTGCTATAATAAGTAGTTTAAAGTGGCTTAATCCTTTGACCGAGAGTGACAAGCAGCTGATTTCTACCTACAGTATCACTGCTGATTAAGATTGTAAGAACAAAGGAGATGATTAACAACTAAGGAAGCTTTTAATTGCCCAAAAAATTCTTCATGTCATAAAAAAAAAGGAAGTGTAGAGATAACAGATGGAAAATAGGCATACTGGTATTGGTGTTGGGGTACTAAGGGTTTAAGCATTATAGTACCTAAGGGTGGGCTGTGGGTCACAAGGATGTCAATGCCATCTGGAATTTTGTTCCATATCTCTTGAATTGGCTGACCGCGAGGCTTCATGAAAGCCCAGTCACAAAACACAGGTGACCTACAATTTCATCGGAGTAAAGAGGCATTGTAGTGAGAAAGTATCTAAGGCAAACAAAGCATGCAACTTACACCCACAATTAACAATTACTAATAATGTCTTCTTGCATGTTTTAGCCCATGTAATGCTCTACTCCCCACCAGATTTGTAATGATTAATGTCCTGAGGAAATTACTAACCAGGAACTTGTTTCATGAACACTTGATGGATAGATAACTGTTTTTTGTTTTCCATGTGTGCATTCGAGATTACATTTGTTTGTTTTCTTTTCTTTTGTTTTGTTTTGTTTTTTTTTTTTTTTGTAATCAAGCAAAAAGATATCATGAAATGAATATAAATGGACTAGTTTTTGAGCTAATGACCCATACTTCTGCCCCTCACTTTTGGACCTTGACTTGATTGCCTGAGGCCACATTTTAGAATCTCAGGCTGAGGAATAGTATTATATTAATTCTTTTCTCAAAAACCCATACTTTCGGTTTCATTTCCAGATTTTCACATCTAAATCTTGACTTTAAAAACAGTAAGAAAAATCAGCTTTGCATGAACGGTTTAAGACCAGGCCTTTCATGAAACGGGCCCTACGCCTCTCAATTCAAGCCCCAGTGTCTCACCACGGGGAGCCATAAATTCGAAATCCACGCAGAGTTATTTCCTCGTCTTCCAAATAGATGCAGTTTGTGAGTTGCTTCCGAGTGTCCTCAGGATCCTCTCTGATCCGTGTAAAGTGTGACCATAGAGAATCGTAGCTCTCAAGATCAAACGAAATGTCATGGTTACCAGCGATGACAACCTTGTAGGGATGATTGAGTGTTCCCAAAAATCTGTTGAAGTGGATCACTTGATCACGGGATCCACAACTTGTGAAATCTCCTGCGTGAATTAAGATATCACCATCTGGAATAGCATGTTCCATTTTATCCGTCCTGTTGTGTGTATCTGAAATGCAGACAAATCTTGTGTGCCCAGGAGGCTTTGGGCTTCGTACATCATTTTGCTTTAGCCTCTCTACAACTTGAGATGACTCAAGAAGATTCCACGCAATTGTCGGGCGATCCACAAATTTTTCGAGGGCCTATTCCACAGAAACATCTTTACCTTGCTTAGCTTTCGCCTTAACCAAAATCTTCTTCATCGTCACAGACTATGTCGGTCCAAATATTAAATTAAACTTCTGTAAACTTGGCAAATTCTTCCTATCAGCGTCAGCAAATTTTTAGCAGGCCTCCGTCATTATACCGCGGGAGAATAGAACCAAGTATTTCTTATCCCAACCTTCTAGATTGATCATTCCACACGGCCACTTCCATTTGGCTGTCTGCGCGTGAAGACATCGACTACTCACATTTGTTACGTTTTTACAAATATCATCTGATTTTGATTCAGCATTATGCCAACAAAAAAACCCTCAAAGGACTCTCAGGCTGCAGCCAAGAACGTAGGAGGCTTCTCCGCATTTCAACTGCTCATATTTTTGATCGCTACTTCATCAGTGGCAATGAATTTTGCCATGATCTACGGAATAATTCCTTTACAAGGTAAATTTCGTTAACTCTCTCCTTTTCACATACGAACTGTTTCATAAATGCAATTTACTTTTTTTCACCAGGTTCCAATACGTTCTTAAAAGATGCGCATCTGCTTTTTCCTTTCTCGAATTTTATACAGGAGTGCACGCCAACAAGTGGTCGGCCCGCAGAGGTCAAAGAGCCATGTAGACAGATAAAACTTTATCTCTTTAGTCCAAAAATTTCCCGCGAAAACAAACGTTAAATCTAGCACGACCCCGTTTTAACTTACACCCATTGTTTTTTCCATTGGATCTCCATACAGGATGCGATGGTCCCCCCGGAAAAACCGGAGAACAAGGTGTGGAAAATTTGCATTTATTTTCTAAGAGAATTATATAATATGCGGTTTGCTATAGAGAGGTATTCGAAGCCGTGGTAGTAATTGTAATATGATGACACCAAAATGTCCTTTTTATTTTAAATCAGGCCCGGCTGGTCCCCAAGGAAAGCCTGGAGAAGCCGGTAAGCTATTTATTTTGTGAGCCCGTTTGTTTATGAAAGCAGTCTCATCCTTGGACATAGGGAATTCTCAATTCATAGTTTCAACTGGGTTTTAAGCAATACTAGTAGACTGAGACCTTTATTCCTTGCTTCCTTGTGAAATAATGATCCTGCACAACTCGAATCGAATTCCTTTGTTTAGAGAAGAACCAACAACCCGGACTGCGTCCGTTCTTTCAAGGCTGTAAAATTACCGTGACGTGTCACGCATTATCAAATCATCACAAAACGCTTTACCTTAAACGTACATGGCGCTAAATCGACTTTAAGTCGAATAACAACCCCGCAGTTACAGGTTGATGTTAAACAAACGTCAAAAGTGTCACTTTAACATTTTCATTGACAAGCTGTGATTATGCGTTCTAGAAGAAAGCTTCGGAAACCGTTCACGCAATCACCATTGTGTCACGAACTCTACGGTTGTCAACGTGGCATTGGTAAACTTCCTGCCTAACTATCTATGCCTTATTGTGCTCTTAATTGTATAAATAAAGCAAACAGTGAAACTCAAACTTATCATATAGGAATATTTATTTAAAAGAGATAACTTGCAATAATTTTCTTTTATGTATTTATAGAGCTTGATAAATATTGACCCAGCCGTTCTTTAAGAAATTATGTCAATCGAATATTAATTTTTAGCGAAATTTAAGATGTTAAAAGGTATTCTTAATGTTTAAGTATATGCTAAGTCTGGCATGATAGTTTTTTAGTAAGAGTTAACTACTGATTTGGTAAAGTATACTCAAAAAAAGTGAATTACTGTAATACACAATAATATTTTAAAATAGAGGTAGCAATTCATGATATTTAGTTTAATTTAATTTAGTTTAATTTACTCATCTCTCCCTGAGATTAAAATGATGTAATTAAATTTTCAAGTCTGAATTGTAGCAATCCTGATTGTTCATCATGTATTCCTTATCCTAAATTTAAACAATTCATGTGCTTTCAATTCATAGGATTGATTACTGACATGCATATCAACCACTCTTTGTGGAGGCTAGTGACTGTTCTCTCTTTACCCATCTTATGACATACAATTTAACTTGAAACCCTTCTAAAACAGTACAAGTTAGGGTTGGAATTTCATGGTAGAAAATTGGTTTTCAGTGAGATCTAGACTTGCTTAAACCTTTCAGGTTTATAAGTGGGTTGACTTGCTTTATATTGTATCTTTTCCTCAATTTTTACAATTTCACACATGAACATGATGCTTTGAAAGAGAAAATGTCAAATTTGGAGTATGCTTTGATTAAACGCTAAATTCTTAGAGCTAGAATTACAATGAAAGTATGGCAGACAGTCTGGAGAATTGAAATTTAGATCTTTGGAGGGAAAGGTTGATATATACTTTTTCATCTAGAAGATTTTCAAGACTTTTTATTTCCTTTTCTTTTGTTAGAAAGGAACAGATAAGAGTTCTACTAGTTTTCGTATCTTATTCGTATCATTTATTGAGCTTTTCTTTGAGTCTCCCTTTTGAGCCCTGTCTCAAGTTAATCAGACTAATAGAAATGGAAACTTTATACAGGTGTACCAGGAAAAGTAGGTGTAAAAGGTGCCCAAGGGAATCCAGGAGAGAAAGGTGATAAAGGAGACCCAGGGGAACAAGGCTTCAAGGGGAATATTGGACCCAAGGGGGACCAAGGACCCCAAGGGGAAAGAGGGATGCAAGGTACATACTCATGCTAGAGACATACAATATTTGATGACACATTATAAAAATGTCCAAAAATTTTAAAAAGAGATTTTCTTTTTTACGGTTAATTTCAAAGCTATCAATGTTAAAAAGTTATCATTAGGGAGCTGCCAGTAAGTTTATATGGTCCTACCGTTTTTTTCATTCTTACAATATTTCATTTATCTAATAAACAGTCCATTGTGTAAAGCCTCTGTAATCCACTTAAATTTACTCTCTTTAAGACAGTTTTGTTTTGACAAGTCATTTTTACTGTTAAATGAAATAAAATTTTAAGAAAAAAATTAAAGTGCAAAATGAATTTGCTTTAAAACCTAATAGTGGTTACATGTACATATAAAAATTTCCTATGGAACATTTTGGGGATACTTTAGGTGCTCCTGGTCTAAATGGTGAGAGGGGTCCAACAGGACTTCCAGGCGAGAAAGGAGAGTCAGGAGCCCCAGGTGAAAAGGGACCCCAGGGTGAAAAAGGTCCCAAAGGGGATGTTGGAGACAAAGGTACCCAATGTGTAGAAATTGAATTAATTTAAAAATATCAGCAATTTCCAATTATTTCATCTGCTTTTTCTCATCAGACTCAAATTTTTTTAAAAGAATTTAACCAAAATTCCTTGGTCATGTTTGTTTGTTTGTTTATTTATTTATACCCCTTGCAGAAAATCTGAATTACAGGTGTAGTCACCAAATTGTATTCTAAAATGTTGAATTTAAAATATTTGAAATAAGAAGTTGTAAAGTTAACACTGTATTTAAATTATTGCTAAATTATTGCTAAATAGTTAATTTTCAATGATATCAATGACTGAGAATTTTAGTACAGGTTCTTCGGGAAGAAACTGTCATTAGATACCGCATAACTCATGAAAGAGCTACACGAGGTCCAAACAAAAATAAAGCTTTTTTAGTATTTGTCCTTCATTCATAACCAGCACTCGACTCCTTTTTTTTTTTTTAAATAAGTTTTAGCTGGTGTAAGTCCTATGGCAGTAAGTGTGTCAAATAAATTTAACAGCCTCTCTTTGCAATAATAATGGATCCACTTGAGATTCATGTCCTCATAGTTTATTCTTTGCCAGAAGTATGAAGCTGTGAATGACTATGTTCATTGTTGTGACAAAAATAATTAACATATGAATGAAGTGTCATAATGTTTGATGTTCATTCATTCATTCATTCTCTTTTGCCCTGCAAACTCAACGTGTTACAAGATATAAGCATGTTTGATTGCCAAAGTTTTTTTAGTCCAAAAACAAAAATGCAGATGGAAACACTGTTTTATTAGGAATAGATTGAGTTCTTTTCATGAACAGAATTTATAGGTAGAATTAATTAACTATGTCTCATAGTTTCATATTAATTCCTGCAATCAAAAGTCTGCAGGTAGTATATTTAATCTACCTGAATTGAAAAATAAGTGACCCAGCTCAATAAGGCTCTTTACTTTACTCTTAAATGTATATGGTGGTCACTTTCAATCTCAAAAAGTAAAAAATACACACTGTTAATTTTGTGTTCTCTGTGATGCTGCTGAAGGTCCCACAGGTCAGACAGGCCCAATAGGTCCAGCAGGACCTCAGGGGGAGAGGGGTAAGTATGTTGTTCCACCATAATATTGTTATCAATACACAAAAAAAAAGGAGTTTGGTCATTAACCTGGTTACCGAATGTATACAGGTCCCCAGTTCACAACTGTTTGCTTTGGTATACACCACAGAAAATAATCTGTATCAATAGATAAAAAATGTTAATGTGTGTGGATCAAATGACCACTTTGTAGGAATCATAAAAGCCAAGATCCTGTAAATAATCTCCTGGTCATAACATGTTAAATAACTTGTCAAGTATACCCTTGAATTTTGGTTTTGTCTGGTCTCTATTTTTCTTTTTCACATTTTTTTATTGTGTGTGTGCATTAGGTAACACAGGTGCAGATGGGCCACAGGGTCCTCAAGGTGAGTTTTGAATACTTGTTGTCTTTTCCCTTTAGAACCCTTGCCACTGTCTTTTTGAGTTGTTGCAAGGGAAAATCAAGTAAGGTGCAACTCCACACAGTTATTTGCATCTTATTTGGCCAAATTTGGACAATTGTGACAGTAAATACATCAGGTGAAGTTGTCTTTGCATGGCAACTGCAAAAGGTAGCAACAAGGTAGCAGTGAGGGTCCCTTATAATCATAGTTATCTTCTTGCAAGGTGCACTCCTGATAGTTTGTAAAGTGTCATTACCATCTTTGCCCTTAAGGTGATATTTTAATGAGCAATTCAATGGTAGAAGTAAGGCCTTTTAGTGGAATTTTGTTAAACTTTCTTTCCTCTTTTTCCTCTAGTTTTCCTCTTTTCATTTGCATTATTTTGTTTTATTACAGGGCCATCAGGAGATAGGGGACTTGATGGATTAAATGGAGAACCTGGTGAGATGGCTATTAATTTAGAAATCAGACAGACATACAAATTTATAATTCAAGTTATCAGTTTTTAGATTTACTCATAACAAGTTCTTTGTATGAATCTTACATAACTTTCCTGTACTACAGGGAATCAACCACACAGCCTTGCAGATACTGTTAGATAGGTTATAAATGCAGATTAAACTTTATTTCCATTTTTGCTTTAGGTGCACAAGGCCCTCCAGGACCTCAAGGTCCCCAAGGGGAACAAGGACCCCAAGGTGAAAGAGGCCCCCAAGGGGAACAAGGTGTGGCAGGTACCCCAGGGGAGTTACCTGTACCACCTGATCAAACAGGAACACAATGATGAAGTGGCAATTTATTTAAGATCAATGTGAGTCAAGCAGATATCTTCATGAGTTGAATAAATGCTACAGGTTGAAAAGTTAACATGTGCTTTGTCTGGTGGAACTAGTTTTAAGACATATTTGATCCTTATATTACTCAAGTTGATCAAAAGAAAAGAAAAGTAAGGTTGACATTTACACTATTATGTTATTACATTCATGTTATTTTCCTGGCAGATACTCCTAGGGTTAGGCCATGTGCTGCATATATCTGGAAATAAATTTTGAATGATTATTTATAGTTTTTCAGTTTTATCTGAAACTTAATTTAATGGATTTTTCTATTTACACTCTTCTGAGACAATTTTGAAAGTAAGGAAGTACACAAATTTGCCTTTTCTTTTAAACAAGATAGTTATCCTTGAGTGACATCTGATTTCTTTTTTGTTGCAGGATGAAATTTTGAATACAACTTCAGTACATGAATTACAACTGCCTCTTCAGAATGACCCTTTGCTTCTTTTAAATATTGTGGCACACATTCTACTAAGAATCTTTGCCACAATGTTGTCTACCTTGACAATCTTTGTTTTTCCTTTGTGCTTTTTTTTATCATCTTGACCTTTGTTGTTTTGTTCCTTTTTGGGAAATGTTGTCTCTGTTTCTATTTCTATTTTTTGTGTGTTTGTTGCTTGGTAACTGGTATTTTGATGCAATTCTCAATAGCAAGTTTGCTCTTGTAGTGTAATATATATCATTAATTTTGTTAGAATGAATTTGAAATTGTTTTACTTCAAGACTACTTTAAGCCTAGCATAGAGTCAAAAAACTTGTAAATGGTTTTGCGAAACATTCCCTGCAGAATATACTGCAAAATTGGAGGCAGTCTTGAGGCAAGAATTTTTTTAAAATTTTTAGAATTGCAGGAAAGTAACATATTGATGCTTTTATTTTAGTGCAGTTTAAATAATAGAGTGCTTTCATCAATTGATTTTATCAAAGAGATAATGGTGGAAAGAAGTCCTGGATATGGATATTTCTATTTTTGCTGGACTTTACTAAAATAAATTTAAAAGTATTTTGCCATTTTCTATCGATTACAGCAACCCTTTACATCCCTGACATCAGTTTATTCATCATACTCCTCTCTATGCATACTCCTCTCTATACTTGGGTACTGACAATGAGAATTTGTTTAACAATCGATTGAGAGGTTGGTGATAATTTTCTTTATTCTCCTGATCCTAATGTAAGGTTAAGCTGTATTGCTGTAAGGAGAACTTGGATGCTGGTCACTCCAAGGGTTTTAAAGGTTAAACTTATCTACTCCTTCATTATCATTCCTATAGACTAGTTGGACTCCATTTTATATGAAGTTTTCAAATGTTTTGCCAGAGAAACCTTTTAGCTAGAATTACAGGTACTTAATTCTATTTAATTGAAATAAACGTGTAAACGTTTCAAGTGTGGTTTGGTAATTTGTCTTACTATATTGTCTCATTGTAAAGTCTTGCCTCGCGTGAATAACCTCTTAAAAGAAAATTAACCTGATTAATATTTACATTAGCTTGGCGACCTTCAATCATGATAGGGTCGCGCGAAATAATACTAATGGTGTTTCGTAACGGTAAATGCTGATAAGTGAAGGGTAAATAAAGCTAAGTAGCAGTAAATGATGTCTGATAACAAATGATGGTGACAGTGACTGACGCTTCGTTTAGAGGTAGATGATGACGTTTAGTGACAGTGAATGACGCTCAGTGACTAAGAATGACACTTAGTGATAGTAAATGGCTTTAATAGTGACGGTAAATGATACTTAATGACAGTTAATGACACTTTGTGACGGTAAATGACCCTTAGTGATGATAAATGACGCTTAATGACGGTAAATGAAGCTTAGTGACAGTTAATGATGCTTAATAGCCGGAGGTAATGCTTTGTGGCTCCAAATGCGCCTGTTGACCATATATGATGCTGAAAAATCAAATCTTTTATTCACATACGTCTCCTTCGAATGACGTATTCCTTTATCGAGATTATGAGCCTTCATGTACGCGCTTGCGTGACGCATCATTCTTCTCAATGAATCTTCGTCGCCAAACGACATCAAATCCAAAATACTCTCCAATTCAATCACTGCTATTTTTGGATTGTCCGCTATGTAATGGTGTCTATCCACTGCTCTACTACTAGTTGCCATTCTGCTGGCTATCTACAAGCTCTCTCGTGATCACGCCTTGCGTATATTCTAACATAATCTTCCAAAATGTCACGTCTTTTATCTGCTATCACTTGTGTCTCGTAGTCCAATAAACTACATTCATCTACATCACGTAATGCTATATACAACTGATTTCTGATTTGCTCTAAAGTCTCCATATCCGCAAATTTTGTAATACTTTCCAATGCCTCTAATATCATGCTCACCGATACTTTTGGATTCATCATCCTCTTAACAAAATCACGTCTTGCCACATAATGAAATTTAAGCCACTACAAATGTCACTTTTAACTAAAAAAATTCCTACCTGCGGGCGGCTGCCCGCAGGGGGCCTAGGACCGGCGGCGGCGGCGGAGGAAGAGCACCATTCATTTAGACATACATCAATTCAACTCCGTACCAGACTCTTTTGACCGAGTCATACTCAGACCCAGGCCTTGCGGGATTGCCAGAGCAGACGCCTTACACTACTGTTGGAAGCCAAATTATGTCCTTTTTCATTGTTGGAGATCTTGCAAAGTGATACGGGTAAAGGCAGGTTTCAGTGTGTAAAAAACCTCTTTTTAAGTGAAAATGAATATTCGTAAACGTAGATATTATAGGTTTCTACACAACAGCAAAGATAACCTTAAAAACAAAGAATTTACTGCTGAACTATAAACAGCTTTTAGAGATAACTTGGACGAATTGCAATTTCTTTAAATTTTCAGTTCCTCTATGAGGCATCTGTTTCAACAATCCTGCTTTTAAGATATAAACAGGAATTAGGAATAAGTTGTACTTTGATTGATTTTTTGAAGATGAAATTTCATACTCTAGCGACGACTGTCTTAAGTAATGTATTCGTCATCAAATAAATAGTAAGTTAATCACAATATATAAATTAATAAGGCAAAGGAACTTTAGACTTTCCAGGTTCTCATTGGAAACAAAAATTCTTTAAAATAGGTGCCAAAAAATCTTAACTGAGAAACTTGAGATAGGCTGTGAACTCAAAAAGTATTTTTTTTGACTTGAAATTAGTTTTACCGACAAAAACTGAAAGCATTACTTACATTTTAACCTAAATGTCTCCCAACAAATTAAATCAATCAACAAAACAGGTTTTAAATTTCAATGATAAATACATTTTTTAATTTAAATAGTACGTTGCTTATATGAACCGAAATGATAAAGTATCAAACTAGAAAAGACTGAGAAAAAGTACAAGTTTGATGTAAAGATTTACAAGTATCGGTTAGGTAAAAGAATTTAATTCAAAATAAAATACAAAGAGCAAAAGAAGAAAAAAGGCCATTTTTAAAGTTTTACGTTAATATGTGGACTTTATAAAGAAAGATGTGGATGTCTCTAGAACAGGGATACTTTTCCTGGTCTGAAGAAGTAGATTTTTGAACAGGAGAGTCCTTAAACTGAAAAAGAATGATTTCAAGCTTAAATCGTACCTTTCTGATACAAATTGAATAGTTAAATCTGTAGAAGGAACAGCTTTACAAAAATGGTTTGCGAGCCAATTCAGCACTGGGCTAGCAAATTTAATTACAATGCTTTCAACAAATACTCTCTGACTGAAACCGTAGACTCTCTCATCTCAAACACATTCCTTTTTGGCATTTTTCGAGCTCAATTTTATTATCAGGATTCTCAGCCAGAACCGGCCACTGTCTTAAGTAATTCATCTATCAGCACAAACTTTGGGGAAACCTCCTTGTCTGTCTCGCGCTTTTGTAGAATTTATTTATGACAAAAAAAAAAAAAACATGTATATATATATACCAGTATGAAGGTTACTCAATATGAGTACATGTGGATTTTAATGCAGTTCTCTTTCGTAGACCAACAAACGTTGGTCCACTCTGTAATGGAGGGTAAGTGGCTTCGAATACAGGCGAGTGCTCTACTCGAACGCTCCTTTAATTCATGCTCTCACCACTATATATCTACACTCGCTTGCCTAGCTCTCCTCGTGCGTTAACATCCGGGCCCTAGCGTATGACCGTATTAGGTAACGACACTACATCTCTCCCCTCTTTGAAGCAAAAACCCACCTAGCATGATATGCGACTTAAAAGGAAACAAAACAAATTGAAACGACTTTCTAGCTGTTTCAAAGTCCTTAAGGCCTAACAGGATTGCAAAAGTGTTCAATGTTTCTAAGGCTTAAAGGAGTCCAAACACAACTCTAAACAAAGTCTTCAACAGTTCACGTAATTTGTTACTTATCAGTCACATTGCTTGTTGAAAATTCAAACTATAGCACGCAATAGTCCTGAAAAGAAATTTCCCTCTCTAATGAAGCATGATTTGAATGTGATTAATGGAATGCAAGTGAAAATGTGTCAGAACAGCAAAAAGAGGTAATCCTCCCGGTTAGCTCAATTGGTTAAGCGCCGGACTGTTGTGCGGGAGGTTGAGGGTTCGAGCCCCGGCCAGACCAACACTCAGGGTCTTAAAATAATTGAGAAGAATATGCTACCTTTCTATAACATCGATCAAGAAATGGTTAAATATTCTAGTCTTCTCAGATAGGGACG